TTTTGATTTTCTTTACTTGAGGACAAACAAAGTTTCTAAGTCGGGGGTGTTGATGAGTGGTGGATTCCCACTCATTTGAGGCTCTTTTCGTAGTTATTTTGGCTTGCTTTAGTTTAGAATTGGTGCTTTTAATGTGGGTTTTTTTCATATTTGTAGGAAAATGAAATGGAGAGCTGATTTAAGAGATATTTGAAGAAACCAAGTGAACTTGAAGCAAAAAGAGGTCAAGAGCTGAAAATGCAATTTCTGGCAGGGAAAGTACCCTTCGCGAACGCGCTTGAAGAAACCCAGTGAACTTTATCTGCCTATTTGAATGTCTTCATATAGGGGAAGAAATTTGCTAAACCTGAACTCGAATCATGCATTGAGGAGTTTGAAGAAAGGTTGAATAAATTCGACATTGAGAGGAAGGAACAAGAACTTACTGCCAAAACTGCTCAAAGCCATCAACAGAAAGTGGAGAGCTTGGAGAGCATCACAGTGACTGTAAAAGAAGAAAAGGAAATTGGTGAATCTGAAATTACTGCAGGTAGTTTTCTCCAAATCTATTGTCTGTTCATTCAGTTATTACTATTTCATGTTTCATTTACAAGGTTCTCATTTTGAAAAAATTTAAGGCGGAGGGAACTAGAGCTTAATGCTTATCTCTTTAATTTATACGGGTCATTTGTGCTTTTATTCATCCAATTAATTTAAAAACAATGTAGAGGAGGTAGTAGCTGTAAACAAAACATAACGTGGTAGTAACTTTGATAAATAGTTGGTCCTTCACTACAACTTTTTTTTCATAAATCCATATAAAATTTAAATGATGGTTTTTTTTTAGAATTTTACATTTAAGAGTAGATACTGATAAAAAAGCTCTAAAGTCATTTTGGCGAGAGAGTTGGAGATATATAAAGAGGCTCATCGCGCTTTTGAATATTTCTGTTTGCCTCCATTCTTCCGTCTCTTTCAATCATCTGTTACTCTCAGTAGCATCAAGAAGATTAGCAATGGAGTAGCAGCACAAGAATCAGAAGGTATGCAAGACCAAAATGATGAAATCGAGGATGTTCAAGAGGGCCCTTTCCCTGTTGAGCAACTTCAGGTTTCACAATTTCCCTTTTCCTTCTTGAATTGAGGGGTTATACATATAAAGTTTTGTCTTGCTCTTTGTTTTATGTCATTCTTATGATAAGCTGATGCTTTTACCTTCACCCATTTCCCCTTTTCCTCTAATCCATAATCTCGATTTTCTTGTTCTTTTGGGTGTCATTTCCTAACCCAGATGTTTTTTTTCCAATTTTAATTCAACTCCTCTGGAATCTTGGATTGGGGTAGCCATTCTTATGATAATTAATGATTGTTTATGACTTCAGATTCAATGTGTACCTGGGTCTGATCTTGAATTGTGCTTCTGTGTTAAATCTTGAATCTTAAATTGTGTTCTGGGTTGAATCTTTAATTGTACAAAACTGAATTTCGTGACGCTGTAAATTGAAATCATTTCTTAGTCCCTCTCTAGGCAGGTTTATGCCACAGAGAAGTAATACCACTGCCAAAGAGGAGAGAAAAATTCAGATCCAATTGCAACTTTCACACACGATCTAGTAAGTCTGTTTCTCTTCCAGTGAAAATCTCTGTGATTGTTGGGGGGCCTTACAGTTTCTAGCATAATATCGTTATTATAGCATTCTGAAGTTCTCATTTTGACATCCTGTTAGCCGTATATTGGGAATTTCATTCCGATCCATGTTTATTAGAGCTTTTCCTTCATTTTGGACTTCTTGTATTGAATTATATGTTAATCTTTGACTACCTCAAAACAGAAACTTGATTAGCAAAAAATCCGCTAGCATGATGCCCTCCCTTAGTGTATGCTCGATTTCCACATCTCTATGAGCCATTAATCTGCTTATCATCTTGATTTCACAAGCCATGATACGTGGGACTTCCCATATTCCATCTAGTATCTGTTTGATTGTGAAGAATCAGTTTCAAGGATAACAGGCAGCAAATTGTTTAAAATATAAAAATTCCAGTCCACTTCTCAACGCCACTACTTCTGCCTCTAAACTTGTAGCACTTTCCTAGCTTTTAGCTTCAGCAACTATAAACTCTCCTGCATTATTTCTAATGCAGAAAGCACTTGCACTAGGTCCCGGATTTCCTTTTGAAGCTCCATCTGAATTGTACTTATAGACACCTTCGTAAGGTAGTTTCCACTTCACCACTTTACATTCAATTAATGGATAGGCTTCAAAGAATTTCAGGATCAGAGGCCAACTATCAGGGATGTTCCTCAACCAAGGATACCTTGTAATTGCCAAGTAGTGAAGGTTCCTATTAATCTCCATCATCATACCTTGCACAGACATCTTACCACCATGCCTTATCATATTCATCATCTTCAAAATTTGCCACATTATAAAAGTAGGGACAGCTTTAAAAAGTGGTCTGAGTTTGACAGAACATGTAGCATTCCACCATTTAAACATGGTGTCTTTCAGATGTGGGAAAGGGCCTCGCAAACCTGGTGCTGCTGCAAAAGTTTTCCACAAAGTGGTAGCTACTGGACAAGTAATAAAAAAATGCTCGTAGGATTCTTTGGCTAATTGTTTTACAACAACACCACCGTACATCATCTACCAGGGCTATTCGTATTAGAAATTCCCCAATTGGGAGCTTCTTTTTCCATAACCTCCATATGAAAAAAGAGACTTTAAAAGGAATTCCTTTTTCCCAAATGAACTTGAATTCTTCTTGTTACTTGTATTTCTCAAAATATTCCAAGCACTATTAACATTGAATTTTCCTGAGCTGTGTGCCATCCACCATAGCTTGTCCCACTCATCTGTATCCTCTCCACATCCAACTTTATAAATAATGTGATTACATACCTCCTCCGGAAAAAGAGGATTTAGCAAATTGTCATTCCGCCTTCGTTGTGACCTTAACTAATTCACACTAAGTTGCTCGGACTCGGATGCGGGTGTCTGATATGGGTTCGGATCTAGAGGTCGAATCCTTCATGATCTAATTTTTAAGATTCGGGGATATGGATCCATGTATGGATATGGGTGTGGGGATTCACCTAAATATAATTAAAATATCTAAAAATAGAGTTATAAAACCGAATTATGAGATATTAGCAAAGGGGCGTGATCAGATCCAACTCTAGCCTGATGATCCAATTCTACACTTCCCAAAAGGCCCAGAAAAGCTTGATTAAGAACAATCTTGTCCAGCCTTTTGAAAATATAAGCATCATCTATTCTCCCATTCCACCATGTAAAAGGGCTACCTTTGAAATTAATATAAAAAAGATCACAGGAATTAATGCTAAAAGCAAAGTCGTTATATTCAGTTGGATATACAGGAAGTCTTCCAATCTTCTCCTCATCATTCATAATAACATTGAAACCCCCACAAACAAGCCAGGGAAGTCTCATGTTCTGACTCAAGAGGTAAATATCATCCCACAACTGTAATCTCTCAGTAGCTTCACACTTAGCATATACCGTAGTGGTAATTACCTTGGAAAGAAAGCTGAATAGTGAGTTGTTGGTCTGAATCTGCCAGTACTTCTACATGAATTGCTCTTGTACAAAAACCCAATTTTTTCCATTTTGATTATAGTTTGCATAATGCCTGCCCAATATCCTCTTGTAACTTTGTATATGCCTAATATATTGAAAAGGTTCCATCAATGCAATAATGGAAATATCATTATGTCGGTGTAGCATTTGCACTCTGTGAAAAGAATGTTAGGATTTTACAGATCTAATGTTTCAAAATAAAGCTTTTAAATTCATTAATACTTGATTTTCCACTCCTCCTAGGAAGTGTCCTTGTAGGTTTACTATTAACTCTGGCCTTGCACTTTTTAGCTTTTAAGAATGCGTGTGGAGATAAATCAGGATCCTTCACCAACTGATTGATATTTTGATGTCCCTCTCTTTCCTCTTTATCTTCTCTTTTACCATCTTTATCCTGATTATTTATCTGTACTGCAACTCCTGTGATACCCGTTAGGTGATGAGAAACAAATTCATGTAGTACTTGCACGGGAGAAGCTTGCTTTTGGGCCAATTCTAATTGTGCTTTTGTTGCAGGTACAATCTCCTTGTGTTGATCATTAGTCTTAATCAACAATTGTTTCTGGGACACAGTGGGTACCTTGCAATCATATCAGAATCATCACCTACTACCTCAACACTAGTAAAATCCACTTTGAAGTGGTTCATGGAACTCTGCCAATGCTAGGGCCTCTTTCTCGACTTGCTCCGCATCTGCTACAGGTTTGTTTTTCTCAAATATTGTAACTGTTGCTTCATTATTCAGTATTTGATATTGAGGACTACTCTTGCTATTGATTTCATTATCTTGAGGACCTTGCATCTGTTGTGGTTTCTCTCTTCCTTCCCCACTATATCGAGGACTTGATTTGCCACTGCCATGGTGTTGTTGATGATGTATTTGTAGCAATGTGTTACCTATCTTGCTTGCATTTTCTTGCTGCCTTTGTGAGACTTGATGTGCTATTTGTTTTGTGCTGGATCCGAGTGCAACTTCTTTTCCTCCCGTTTTCTGATGGTTTGCTCCTCTGTAGCATTTCTAAAGGGAAAGCTGAGGAGCTTATGTGGTAGCAGTGCTTCGGATGAGGAGGACCTCACATTTCCTACCGGCTCGAGCTGAGAGTGATGCAATTCAGGGAGTTCCTCGTATTCTCTTTTGATATTTTGATTGTGTGGACACCATCTCATTTTCAGTTGGGGGTGCCTCCCTTGTAGTCATTTTGTTGATTGTTTTTGCATACAATGATTGTGCCCTTGTCGGGCATACTTTTCTTTCTTTGTTATGGATTGGTGTGCCCTTGTCGGGATTTGATATTGTGGATGTTTCTGTGGATATTGTGTTAAATTGGTCTATTTTAGTTTTTGATTTGTAGTTTGTAGCTTCTTTGTTTTTCTTTTGATAATAAGATTTGGATTGACGATGCCCGATGATGGATAGAGAGTGATGACTTTCTTAATGGTAAATTATCGATTGCTTGTGAGTGTTTGATTGGCGTTGATTGTGGCAAATTCTGAGTAGCTGTTCCCGAATAGATGCATGATGTTGCATGATGATGGATTTGTTGATGGCTTTTTTAAGGGCAAAATCATCGTCTTTTTGGGAAGGTTTTGACTTGGTTGGTACTAAGAGCATAGTCATGCATGTGAATAGCGTTGAGCATACCTCTCCATTTTTAAAAGGTTGATCATGTTACGAATGATTTTGTGACAACTCTTACCACTCTTTTTGTGACTTTTGATTCGTTAGCGGTTAAAATGTTCAATACTACTTGTATTTTTAAAAGGAAGTAAGATTTTGAACCATCTTGATTGATTTGCAGGCCATGTGTGGTGAGTTGTTGAATAATGCCTTGTGTTTGCTTTTGTCACCTAGAACTTGCCCGGTTGGTCTTGATTGAGTTTTGTTGGAAAAATGATCTTAGGCTTTTTTTATGTTCTTGAAGTCCACTTGGCCTAAAAATCCCACCTTTGTACTAAATATATCCTTAGTTGTCCCCTTTGAGCCTAA